GGAGCGGGCGGGGAGCAGCCCCGGGCCAGGAGCCGGACACAGAGACCCGCTTGGGTCCCAAGGGGCTCCTCCCGAGCGGGGCAGCGCGCCTGGAAGCAGCAGGAGCTGCAGCTTTCCCACCCACGCGGGTCGCGCTGCTCGGCAACAGGTCTGGCAACCATGGCACAAACCCCATCCCTAACGCAGCTTGTCAGGGCTGCAAGCACAGCAGGGGGAACTAAGACAGCAGCTCATACGCATGTTCGACTGGCATAAGGCGGGGGATTGCATTTTGAGGTTGCAGGTCTCATCCCAGAGCAGCCAGACCCACTCTCACATCCAGCTGAGTCCCAGGCAGCACCTTTTCTCTGCTACCCTTCCCCATCAGCCTAAGCAGCAGATTTCTCTGCCTGCCTCTCTTGCCCTGGCTTTGCAGGCTATCTCAGAGAACATAGAAGTAGACAGTGCACACAGAAGTAGACAACATTGGTAGTTCTAGGTCCTTCTTGTATTCCCTGCATTACCCACTGTGCTCCTGGTTACTGCCCTTGACAGTCCTGGATGGGGTGGGTGGCGTTAGCAGTTCAAACTTTAAAGATACAGCAGGTCCCATCAGTGTTTCTCAACCATGGAGCTGCCATTGAGGCAATCAGTTCTTGGCAAAGACCCAGGACATCAGCTGCTCCTCCAGAGAAGATCAAGCAGAGCCCTGCAAGGCACACAGCCTGCCTCTCACTCAGGAGTCTTGATCTTCTGCCAGGCAAACTTGAAGGAGACGTCACTCCCAGATGAGCATGGAAACAAGCACTCACTCACCCACAGGGTCACCATGCACATGTAACCCCAGGGCAGCCTCCTGAGTGGGGACTAAGTGTCCCCTTCCCAGCACATGCTGCCTTTTGTCCCTTTCAAATTGTCCAGCTGACCATCAGGTTCACTTCAGAGCGACTCTTCTCTGAGCAAAGGTTATGTGCTGAGAGAGATTCCCCTGCTTCTCTCCCCCAGCTGAAGCACCTGACCGCCCCTAGATGCAGCTGTGACACCAGACTAGCACTCTGTGCTTTTTCCATGAGCCATCCCTCTCACTGCTCCAGTTTCTCCTCTGGCTCAATGGCCATGGCTCTGGCTCCCATCTCTTCATATATAGGTGTGATTTCTACTTTTCAAACCTCTCAGCCAGCCCTTCCTGAAGCCAGTGCAGCTCCTTCTTTGTGCAGATAGAAAGAGACATGGGAGAAGGGCACTTCCCCAACCACCAGCACACAGAGCAGGCAATCACTCTGCTAGAAATCCAAGGTTAGCCGGTTTCCATCCTTAGCCACATCACTGTCGTTCCTCTGACAGAGAGAACAGATGTTCTGGCCAGCACAGAGGAGCCTCAAACCCAACCTCCAGGTTTAATTTACATTATACTCTGGGTAGAGAAAGCTGGACTGAGTTTGCTGTCACCCTGGCTCTTCATCTTCTGAGACACAGGCTGCTGTTTTCTGAAGGTTTTTGTCATGTATAAGCCACTTCAATCATATGTTACGTTCTCAAGCCCAGCAAGTCCTTACTGGAGACAAAAGAACGCAGCAATAGCATGAACCTTGACTGCATCCTCACTCAGTTAACCAATGCACTGTACACAATGCTCTCCTTGTAGGCCAGACATGCCCTTTTATCTGCAGCACCCCTTTCAAACACTCCAATTTGCATCTTCAAAAACTGTCTTTTACATCTCAAACTTGCCAAACAAATTAGACTCCAAATTTTAAATACTTATATACACAAAGTGCTTTAGAATTGTTAGATTGTTTGTAATAATCACTCAGCTGGTGTTTGGACTGGTGGTATCTGAACATACCCAACCAGGACTAAGGCTCTAGCAACTTCTGTACCAGCCCCATTGCCAAAGCTGGATGAGAAATGTCACGGCCAGCTGAGATTCCTGAAGTCTTGTTGGTTGGTTACTGAAAATAATGTACCTCACGTAATTCTCCAAGGATAAAAAGAACGTTCCAGTAACTGAGCCTACACAGGAGCAACAAGGAGGATGGCATAATGCACAAGCAGAACTTTACTCCAACTGTGTTACTAGCTAGTTACTAGACTGCTTAGTCATGGTGTAATTTAGTATCAGTTAATTACTTTGCTGAAATGCAAGAGGAAAGGCTCAGTCACTGATAGGAAACCCATGTTGAACAATGTTCACATTGTTTGTAGCTCTGTAGAGCTTCTTTCCTGCTACCACCCTCTCAGTCTAAGGAGCCTCTGCACAGCTCTGGGGAACATCTGAAAAAATGCTCTCACAGCATCAAAACCCAACTGCTCTCTTCCCAGGCAAAGAGCTCATCCTACGCCTGCTTTGGGGGTGCCTGTATCAGGTCACATATTGCCACTTATTGCCAGAAAACAGTTGTTAGCCCCGGAAATGGGCATCTCCAAACTGGCACTCATTTCATGATCCTTTGTCATCTCAGCCTCCCGCAATCTTCTGCTCCTTCCTGAAACAAAGATGGTATCTTCACTAATGGTTATTGATGGCATTTTCTTTCCCCAAGAACCTGTCAAGTTTGTTTTTTTTTAACTGAATCAAACTGTTAGCACTCACAAATTGAGAAGAGCTTGCCACAAAAATACCTATGCAAGGACAGTGCAGCCTTGTTCAGTCTGCCATCTTGTAGTTTAATTGAACATGCCCAAGCCTAAACAACACAGAAAACAGGGAACAACCATTCCCTACTCCTATGCCACAGTTTCACACACCTTTATTGTTTCAACTGGGAAAAAATGTGTTGATGAATTCCAACCTACTTAAGAGGTTTCTTGCAGGAAGTTTCTCTCTTATCTTTGGCTGGCCTTGGGTTTCTGTGTTCTACTATCTGAACTATCTTCCAGGTGCCACCATCCATATCACAAGTGCCGACAGAAACCTTGCAAATGTGATTTCCTCCTCACCTACAAAGCCTTCAATGAGATCACTTAGGAGATTTTTTGCCTCCCTTTCCTTTGGCTCCTTATCCCCATGGATCCAGCCCCAAAAATGCTATTTACCAAAGGAAATAATTTGGACAACAAAAGAGTGGGTTAAAGACATTTATACAGATATATATATATATTAAAAAAAAGTAGTATTTACAGACCATTGCCTAAACATGAAACTCACCAAATAACCAAAGTCACAATCTCTGTAACATTAGTGTACAAAGTGCATATTTCCCCTTCCTTCTCTCTGCAGCAGAAGACAAGGGAGGGTCTCTTTTTCTTTATACCTTTCTGCCCTCAAAACAGTGAGAGTAATGTCTGTATCAGATTGAAGGAGACAAAACCTGTTGATTACTGGGTTATCCACTAGGCAGACTGATTAGCTCAGAAGAAATTAAGGGCAGGAAAAGTGACTCTTGTTTACTTGGTCAGTCTGCCCAATGGATTCCCTTGGGAAAAGCAATCTAGAGTCAGTATCCCAGGGAAATGAGTGGGAAGGAAAGGTTATTCAACTATTAAAAAAATAAATTAACAGAACCAATCCAACCACCCCAGGTTCACCAGATACATGAGTAAGCTTCTATTTGCAGCTGCATTGCTCCAGATTCAAACATGGGCTCCAAAACTGAATCTGATGATCCCAGTTACAATGGGTTACAATTCCTGTGCTTCCCAAGCTGTTAGTTGCATAACCTCACATATAGCCCCACAGTATCTGTGCCAGGCGGGGATGAAAGGTTTTGGACAGCAAATGAAAACAGTGCCAACAGCAGCCCATTGCACAGGATTAGCTACTTGATCTAATCCCTCTTGAAAACAGCCAAAAGAGAAGCTCTCCTGCAGTACTACCCTCTCCTGCCCTCTTAGATGGGAAGGCAAGCAGAGGCACTCTGCCAGCACTGTGTTGAAATGACATGCAACATGAGCAGGCCAAAGAGTGTATGGTTAAGAGCCAAGAAGGCTACACAATTGTCCTGCCAGACTACAAAGCACCAGTGTGAATGTTAATAGCAATAAGGAGCAGTGTGCAGGCTATGAGGTACAGGAGTATGCTGTGTAGAAACTCAAAACACAGATGACTATACAGGAAAGAGCAAACATCCACACAGAATGGGGAGGGGACTAAGCCTGAGGAAGACTCACATCTAAGAGCTGGTGTGTAACAAACCCCTATCACTATGAGGCACTCCACAGGCTACACACCAGACACTGGTCACTCCATCTGTGAGCTCTCGTTCAGGGAAGGAAATGCTGTAGAGTACAGGGCACAGGTGTAGCTCCCTTACTATGTGGAGCAGCAAGCTTCTGGGAGACTGCTTTACTCATATGAAGGCATGTTTTTTTTCTCTGAAGAATTCCTCCCTTGTCAAACTACTCTGAATCTGCTTATTCCAGGCAACAGCACTATGGGTTGCCTTTCAGCAGCAAGGTTCCTCTGCAGGAAAAGTTTTAACCACCTTTCAAGTTTGTATCTCTTTGTACTAGTGCTACAGTTGTCCTTCATTTTGTTTCCATCCCCCATGAGTACCACCTTGGTTTACTCAGAAAGCACCTATAACTTCACTAGTCTAGCCTAAGAAAAGAAACACAGATTTTCCTGCTCTCTGGTAGGATGGGTACTCCATTTTTGACATTGTAGCAGCTTCCTTCTCATCTCCTACTACAATCCGAATTAATCAGTGCACCTCACCGCCCAGTACTGGTGATGAGAAAGAATGTTTACTGTTTCTGAGATGTGCAGATGTTGCTCCCTACATCAATGCACCAAGTCACATGCACTGAGCCATTGTCAGAAAAGTTACACACACTCAGAGTGAACAAGTTAACAGAAGGCTCTTGCCTCCTTAAACTTGGGTAGATTTTGGAAATGGCTGCGAAGGGGCTTATTTAGCTCTCTGGAGATCAGAAAGCCAAATATTCCCAAGCACAAGCAGTGCAGTGCCCTTTTGTGGCAGCTATTGGAATGACACATTTATATGAGACCCCAGATTTTCTGCTGTGGATCACAAGCTTCAGTCCCTCTGTGGCAGCAGTCTCTACTCCTCTGGTCACCTCTTCAGCACTCTCATTCTTCGCTTGCAAGGTGCTTGTTGCTGGCTGTAGGAGAAAGCAAAAGAGAGAATCTGCCTTGACCTATCCCTCATACTGAAAAGTTGGCAGAACATGTGACCAGCTCCTCCCTCCTGAGATGTGGAGAATTTCAGGCAAATTCCTGGACCTACCTAGTCCCCTCCTCCAGCCTGTACTCTCACCACATGGGCAAACTTGGCTGCAAACCCGTGCTGTGGAAGCTG